TGAAAACATCAGAAGTTATCTAATCAGAGCCAAAGCCATCCTGAGTTCTGCCTTATCCCCCTGGTTAATAAAAAAGAAATGGGACCTTTTGAAACTTGAAGGGCATCGAATAAAATAAAGATGTTCCTTGCCTCTGACTTAGGGGTAGATATGCAACAATTTAAACAGTGACTATTAACTACAAAACATTGTCATGGATTCAAAACACCTATATCCTAGGAGAGTTTTGAGGCTTTTAAAAACTTGTTTTGATGCAAAGCAAAAAGCACAAATACCTTTGAGGACAGAGGTTGTTAAGATAGTAGAGGGTATGAGTAGGGAGAAAAGAATATATCATTAGAAGCTAAGGTAGTATTTTGTTGTTGTTGTTTAAGGGCAGATGTAGTCTCATGCAAGGTACTTAGCTGTACCTAAACTAACTCAAAATGCTGTTCAGGAAACAGAAAACCAAGTGAAACAAGAGAAACCAGAACAGTGCTTTTGAAATCTCTGCAAAGCAGTAAGAGGATGGAGAGTTGGTTTTATACAATTTTGAACACGAATTGTAAAGTGCTGAGGCATCTCCTCTCCAAAGGCACTAGACTTTTAGGAACCAGTAGGTCAGTTGTGCGTGGGGGTTGGGCAGAGACTCTCAGATGCTTCTCTTGCAAAGTTTTCTAGTGCACTCTCTCCCTCCCCGCCCCACACTACTCTGCTGGTCCTTCATGCCTCCCCTGCCCAACCCCTATATTGAGTCCTTCACAAGTTCAGGGTACAGGGGTCATCTCTGCAGCCTGTTTTTTGTTTTGTTTTGTTTTTTGTTTTTCCTGGAGCCTGGCAAGAAGTCAGTCCTGCAAGGCCAACCGCAGGAGTTGGATGTGGAGGGCAGAATGGACACTAGAACMTTAAAGCCCACGTATTTTAAAAGGAAGGAGGTGTTCATGGTTTAGAGTACCCCTGAGGATTCAACCTGCTCCCCACCCGATGGTAATCAACACTCCCTTGACTTGGGGTGAACCACCTCTTAATCATCTCCCCCAGATTCGGTCCTAGCAATCCCTGGGTGTCTGTAGTAGCGCGCAGAGCCCTGATCTGTTTTYAGTTAGCTGGGGTTTGACTTCAGTGATCCTTCTAGTCCTGTCCCCCTTCCCCTTCCTCTTACAGAAGAAGGAATGCTGAGGAACTGGACTAAATCAAGGCGCTTGCCAGCCTATTGATTAGTTTTTAAGCCTGACAGCCCTGGACGCAATTAAATATTGGGACCTCATGGGAAGGGAAAGTGGAAGGAGGTTGAGAAGCTGAATCCGAATTTGCAGGTAGGTCAAGCCATCAGATAGCATTACAATGTGTCACAGCTCTCTGGCTGCAACTTCAGCCAGGACTCCGTTCCCCTCCCCTTCCCTGATTTCTAAAACAGTAATCCTACCCCCACCCCTTCAGGACTTCCCTGACCSGATCCTCACCCGGTGCGCTGAGAGGTCCCCCCTCCGAGGTCTCCCTCCCCACTCCACTTGCCCCACCCCACTTGGGTGAGTTGAGTTTATATCAGAAGGCGAGACTGATAGGGGATGAAAGTTCCTTTGAATTAAAGACTGCTTGCAGCCGCTTCTGAAAACCACAGCCATGGTAAGCAAGCAGATCTGAGCGAGAACCAGTGCATCTCAAAAGTTGGTCTTGCTACGCAGCAACCCCAACAGACTTTGCAATCACAGCGCCCCAAGAACACAGGAATCAAAGAGTTTACTCACCTGGGTGTGCCAACCTCCGAAGAGTAGAAAGAGAATTCAGCCCAGGACGAGGTCCGTCCCGCCCCCAAGATGAAAAAAAAAAAAAAATCCGGCTTTGGAGTGGAGGTGGTCGGTGTGGTAGTTGTGTAGTGGTTTAAGAAGGGTCGGACTTCCCTCCCCCCCTTGGCCTCTGAGGCCAGTTTAGCAACAGCGGATGGCAATGATGCTGAGAGGAGAGTTTGGTCTCTCTGGAAACCCTGACTCCATGCTTGGTGTTGGGGGCGGGGGAAGAGAGTGAAAATGTTGAGGGTAGCAAGCTCGGCTCTGTGAACTCGCAGAGTAAAGAGGGAGGAACTGGGAAAAGAGGGAGGGGAGCGAGGGAGGAAGGAAAGGAGGAAGGAAGGAAGGGGATGTGAGCGGGTGGCGGGGAGATGGCAGCTTCTCACTGAGATTTTCACCTTCTGACGAAACCCATGCGCCCAGCCACCCGGCAAGATACAGTTCGGAAACCTCCGCGCGAGCGCCCCCTGGGGGGGTTCCAGTGGATTCAAGCAATGCCCCCCAGGAAAGCGACTCCGCGGCCCCGCCCTGGGCTTGGCGGTGGCGCTCTCCGTGGTCCTGCCGCGCCCACAGCCAGGGCTTCCTGCTCAGCTCTGTCTCTGCTCCCACCAGGCTCCTGGGGGACACTTGCTTCAGTTCTCCAAGTACTTGGACTCTTTTATTCCATGGAAAGCAGCAATGTCGCGGGGGCGGAGGGAAAAGAATGAGAGTTATACTTTTTATCTTTTTTTTTTTTTTTTGCACACGTTCAAGGAAACTTCTTGGATGCTTAACGCATCACTAAAAATGATAGAGGTATTGCTCACTTGGTATCTTCATGTCTACAACAGTATCTGGTATACGGCGGGAGCCTGGTAATTTCAGTAAATAAATGCATGAATAAATGAATGAAAAAACTAGTCCTTTCTTCATCCCATGTCTTTGGATACATCCATCTCATGAATAAGGTCAAGAAATGCTTAGGGAGTTCCTATATTTAAAAATAAATATATCCAGGCRGTCTTATATAAGGGGTAGCCACTGCCCCATGTTATGAAGCACTTTAGAAAGAAACAGTGGCTTTTCTATTCCAAACTTATTCAAAGTCAAATTCAGGCAAATGAATAATGAAGATGTGCATTGTTTCTGATTGTTTCTGTAACCATAGACAACTAAATTCTCCCAGCTTATAGGTATAGTAAGAATCAAAAATATTGAACTTTAGAATCCATACAGTGAAATGCACAAAAAACTCTGTGACTATGGGATGCATGGAGGGCATTACAATTAAACATGGACAAGCATACATGGAGATGGGAGGGTTTTCCCCACTCTCTTAAATCACAGTCTAACAAGATCTCTCTTCAGGTGCAGGGGTTATCAGCCTAGAGTTTTTCACCGAGAGTTTCCAATTTCAAAGGCCAGATAAGAAAAGATAATACAATAAGGAGTGAGATCTCATGGATGGTTTTGTAAAAGTAATTAAGAAGATCTTTGAGAAGCAGAGGAAGAGCTACAGTAAGGGAAATAAATGATATGTTTCTCTGTCTAATCACCTCTCAAACCCTTATGAAATAGAGTAGCACTAAATGCAAAATCTAGAAAGACTCTGACAGAGTCTTCTATACACTGAAATCCAACATAAATTGGTGGATTTGCTTTGATTGAAAAAAAAAAACTGGTCATAGGGTCATGTACATGCCAATCATTGAGGCATTAGTATATCAGATTACAATGTTGGACCAGTGTCTGTAGTATTCAGGAGCTTTCAATATGCTCACAGTACTCCCGGAGCTTCATCTGAACCATACATACTGTATGTGAGGAAAATGAATGATTATCTAGAGAACACTCAGGATTTTCCTATCAGGAAAGGAAAAAAGTTAAAACCAGCATGTTTTCTTAATTCCTTCCAGGTTTTATTAAGAAGTAACCTTAGAGTCAGGCATGGTAGCACATGCCTATAATCCCACAGGCTCAGGAGGCTGAGGCAGAAGGATTGCAAGTTTAAAGCCAGCCTCAGAAATGTCAAGGCACTAAGCAACTCAGTGAGACCCTGTCTCTAAATAAAATACAAAATAGGGCTGGAGATGTGGCTCAATGGTTGAGTGCCCCTGGGTTCAATCCCTGATACCAAAAAGAAGAAG